TTGTATTTTCACAGAATAACTTGAATATTTCAAATGTAATTTAAATGCAACTTTTACTGTTTTTGTTCATTTCAGCCAGGAGGAGGCGGTGCGGCGGGGTGTTTATTCCCCTCAGGATCTGTATACCTTCCCACACACTCGGCTGGGGGAGTCCAGCACGCTGAAGGTTAACATCCGGAACAACTCCTCCGAAAGGCATGAGGTGAGCCCCTGCAGATTCTTTCAAAACCACTGTGGAAAGTTCAAAGTTCTCCTGGCAACAGCTAACTTAGGCTAGCCAAGGAGAAGCTAAGACGGAATGTGTTCATTTAAAACAAGTCATGGTTTTTGCTTTAGGCAAGACTTTTTCAAATTAGGCTCAGACTGTAGGTGTATGCTGACAAGGATCCCAGTTTACTGTTCTTTTTTTTTTTTTTTTTTCAGTGAATTGACAAGGAACTTGCATGACTAACTCAATGTATTCATGTATTGGTTTATGCATTTTTGTCTGTGCTCTGCATGGATTTGACGTGTGGCTTTTCTAATTAACTTGCAGCTGAGATTTATAAAACCTAAGGAGCCCTTCCACATGAAGCATTTTGAGTATTCTCTAAGGTGAGTCGCTTGGCCACATCTCTGCTCTGCTGCTAGATTTTTAGCTTTTGCTACGTTCGCACAGCAGCCGAATGCAACCACATTATTTTATTTTTTTGCCTATGTGCGACCCATGTCTGACTTTTTGGTGGCAGTCTGAACGACCCAATTTTGATCTCTTCACTCCCCCAAAAATCAGTTTTGTGCCAGTTACATATGCAGATATGTTAGTCCATTAGGACTAAGTATGATTAGTCCTGATGGTTTTCAAAGTATGTGCAGACTGAACAGTCATGTCACACTTATCTGACTTTTACATCATTGATGTGAGACATGCATCATAATTCTGCGCCAGAAGAGGGACCGAACAAAAACAATGGCTGAAAATTCTGATTATAAAATTCTGAAAGAAGTCTGTTGATGAAGCACATCACAAGCCCAGCTTGGCTCCGACTACGCATCCAAACAAATGTCTACAGAATTTGCAATTAATGCTCCACAAAAACCACTAATTTATCTTCCTCCATTGCATTATTTTACAATATTACCTCCCATTGCAGAATAACTTTAAAATCCATAGACGACGGCATCCATTATTCTGTAAACAGTGCTCTGTGTTGACAACTACTCTTCTGTACATGAGGGTCGCTTCGGGCATCATAAACCGTTCACACAGAAGTCTGGTCGCATTTAATTAGCGGTATGAACGACATGCAAAAAACCTGGGGATTTCAGCAAAAATTGGAATCGAAAGTCGAGACCTGCCATGTGAATGTAGCCTTTAATTAGGAACAGAGAGTTCAGTCAACTCTTAATTATCTGATTTCTTTCCACTTTTTTTCTCTCTATGTGGCTAATTGTATTTTCATACTTGACTTAATTCAAGGACGTAGCTGGTGATGCTTAGCTATAACGTGTTGTGATACAAACTTTGTAACGGTTTTCTGATTGTGAATGCACTCATGGAGGTCCTGAAATGCTGGGATCTGGAAGGTAATGTTGCTGTGGAATAAACTTGAGGCCTTAAAGATTTTAGTTTTACCTAACCAGAGGGGCGGGGCAGGTTTCCCCACTCAAAGGTACCAACTGTGTTGTGATTAAAAAAGAAAGCATGCCTTCTCTGAGAACAGTCCTACAGTCCTTCATCAGTTAGTTTTTAAGTGTGTTAAGATCTGTAGAGCATGAAGAGCAAACCTCCTGGGATTGGTTTGTTCATTTACCAAAAATAAAGCATTGTCATACCTTCCTCCATTATGTGCAAACACCATATTGTTGTATGACCTGGACGTCCCCCAGCTGCTTTTTGTGACGTCTGCTTTGCAGTTTGCTGTGGCTCTCATCAGGATCTCTGCAGGTCATGAAAAACCTCGCAAGTTTCAGTTCATGTTTCTGCATATCAGATTTCCTTTCAAACTAAATATTGGTTCTGAAATTGTTAGATCTAACAAAGGTTGGAAACATCCTGCAGAAATCGGCTATTTCTATGTAGCATTTTACAGAAGTATGTATATCGCCTGAACTTTTCAGCCTTTGTCGCTTTACATCTACAAAAGTTGGTGGGTTTTATTGGGATTTTCTTGCAAACACAAAATGGCACATGAAGTGGAAGGCAAAGAATTCATGGTTTTCAAATTTTTCAACAAAAGAAAATTTGTAGAGTTAATTTTGTTTTGAGACATTACATGTTTGGACAGTTACTCCCTGAGGTTTTAGATGCTGTCCAGCTGCAAGGATTTTTTTTTTTCACTTTTGGGCAGTTGCTATGATGCACAAACCTGGCAACAAAGCATTATTTTTTTTCAACTGAAAGCAGCTGATTACCGTCACAAGCATTAAAAGACAAACATTTACTTGCCTTTTGGGATAAATTGAGTAATTTTGAACTGAATTTGTACTGATTTTTCTTTTGTAGTGCCTTAAGAGAGCAAACACTAGCCTACAGATGAACTTCATAAATGGAGTTTATTTGTATAATTTGATTTTTGACATAAGTACAGCTGATAACTTCTATTTAACAGAAGTTGCTGTTATGTGCTACTTTATGTAAAGCAACCACAAACTCTAGGTTTTGGGGTGTAATGTGAATAGATGTGAAAAGTTCAAGGTTTATACATGCTTTTGCAAGGCACTGTTCCCACATTCATATTGAAACTATTTTCATCCATTTCTACCTGATGTGCATAAGAATTAAAGTAAATATTTTATTTTTATAGTTCAAATATGTGCTTTTGAGCGCATTTTTTTTTCATTTGTGACAAAAATTTGTCTAATGCCTCCTTCTTCCTGTTCTCCTTCTTCCATTAGATCACAGCATTACGTGAAGCTACCAGTCCAATTCAAGCCCACTACAGCCGGCAAACACACCGGCTTGCTGCTCATCCAATCAGAATCGAGTGGAAATCTGGTTGTCCAGTTGAGTGGTGAAGCATTTCTTTGAGTTCTTGGTCAAGAGCAACACAAGACCAAAACACCAGCTCTTACATATGAATTAAAAGCATAGCATGGAATGGATTCCTTTTTGTAGAATTGTTTCTCTAGCTGTAGACTGTTATTGAGTGGAGACACCAACAGGGCCCTTTGTATCTCTGAAGAGGGCTCAGCTGTCCTCAGCTCACCCATGAAAAGATGGTCTGATGCAGAATGATTGAATGTATCCAGCTTACAATTCTGCACCACTGTGGCGTTTTGAAACGGAGGATCAGTTTTGTCACTTGACTCTAGGCTGAGTGTTTGCCTTCTCTCCTTCAGTTCCATCACAAGGCGGCATTGTTGTTTCCACAGCCTCTGTCACAGTCGCAGTACCAGTTGAGATCCATTTGGCATTACTTGCACTTGATCACACAGGAAGGCCTCTGTCTGCTGTTTGAGAAGATGGCTGGAGCAATTCTGCTTTTGTAAAAGTAGAATTATTGACCTTTTTTGCCCAAAATCTGAAACACAAACGGAAGTCATTTCTGCCATTGTGGTAATGCTAGTTTTGGAGATGCTGTATCTTATTTTGAAGTGCTTTACTTTTAAACATCTGCTCTAGGTCTTTATACATTTCAGGTTTTGTACTTGTCGTTTCTATGGAGATGAGTCTTCATCCACTTAAAAAGCCCACCTGAACTGGGGCTTATCTGGACCATGTGCTGACACCCCTGCAACCTCTAAGATTCCAAAACTGTCCAGATGCTTCTAATGTAGTCTCAATGAAGGCAGCTCACAACATTAGGATGGTTAATGGTTTTGATTACAAGCTAAATCAGTTTCCTTAGGGGGGTTTTGTTCAGCAACTTGCCAGGTCTGCCTTGTATGGTTGCCATGGCAAAATGTGATTAATCACCGTTCCAGGCACAGAGAATTTGATCCCAGTTTCCTTTTTTGGCTCCAAGGCAAGTCGCCAAAATTGCTTGGGGGTGGGGGGAGAGAAGCATTGGATCCATTTCCGTAATGAGCTCTGGAGCGGGATAGGCATGGGGAAAGGTGTGCAAACTCCATCAAGCATGTGTTGTTAACTTGTTAGATGACACACTTTGGCAGCAGAACACTAATGTCTGGCATTGTTTACCTGCACGTATTGAAAGTTTTATAACAAGGGCACTGTCGTGTCTAGTGGTATCTAAGCAACGTTCTGAAATCTTGGTGACAATTTGCACCAATTTTATGTAATATGTATGTATGTAGACATTTTTAAAATAAAGTTCAGATTGTTTTATTTTAAAGGTTTTATTTGCTCTAGTGACCTTTATTTGATAGCGAATTGACAGGAAAGTGGGTAATGAGAGAAGGGGAAGACATGCAGCAAAGGTCATCACGCCAGGAATCGAACCTGCGACCTTGTCGAGCACTAAGGCCTCTGTAGGTGGGTTGTGCTTAACTGCTGTGCCACCACAGCACCCCTGGTTAATACATGTGTTGCTGTTTCAACAATTATTCCTGAAAAGTAACGGAAACAACTTTGACACAGTGCGGAAAGTAACTTTCAACTAAAGCCAAAAAAAGATTATTCAAGAAAACTTGCTCCAGATCAGTCTGAACCTCGGACTAGGAGTGATTCAAAGAAAAAGTCGTCTTTGAGTATTTAAATACAGTTGAGCCCTGTAAAGACTTAAAAATTACTGAAGTTATATTGTCCATTCCATCTGAGCTAACTTGAGGATCTGCAGAGAAGAATGATGGAAAATACCCAAAAAAAGATCTCACATTTGTAGAGATGTACCCAAGATGACTTGAAGCTGTAACTGTCAATGTTGCTTCAGCAGTATTCAAACTCTGTAAATGCATGTGAACCTGTGTATATTTTGTGAATAAACTAGCAAATTCATTAAATTAACTTTAGTTTGTCATGAGGTACTAATTTAAATCTTGAAAGGAGAACATGAATGTAACCTATGTTGGAATTAGGAAAAATTGAATTACTATATTCAAGAGGGTATGAATTTCTTAGAAGTAACTTTTATTTATTCAATTCTATCAATCTGATCCATTGAACTGGATATTAGTTGCAGGTTAGCATTCCCAGGTCAGTGGAGTAGTTTTAAACCTTGAAAATATTTAACTTGTAAAAAGTTTAAATTGGCTCATTTGAACTTGACAAAAAAAATCAAGAAACCAGTTTAATTCTCGAGCGAATCTTTAGCTTAAAGTAAACTGAAAACTCATCACTCAATCCGTACTTTTCTGAAATGTCCCCCTGCCCGTCGTTGCTGGGACGCTGCAGCTTCTCAACGAGGTCGTTTTTGTTGTACTATTTGTTAAAGTAACCAGCAGGTGTCGCCAAAGCGTTATTTTAGGCCCCGGCTGTCTGCAACGTGTGCTGTACAGTAGGACAGCTGAGCTTTATTTTGCCTCCCAGCCGTGACACCACTGTAGTGCAGTTGGACCTGACGTCTAACATCCACAGCATCACACACTCAACCAACCAACCGGTCACGGCGGCTTTGCACGTGAGTGGCGGCACGAGCAGGTAAGAAGCCGGCGAGATTTTTGAAAGTAATTTCTGTATTTTATGTATTTATATTAAAAGACAAACTGCTGTCGTAGGCGGATGGGGGAATGTTCTGACCAAGCTAACTGGTCCTGTTAAATGATTGTTGGGCTGTCCGGGGTTGGCTCTGCTCTGCACTTTGGGCCAGACGCTGGAAGTTGTCGTGCAGACTGGGAGCCACTGTCTGCGCTGCGCCAGACTGAAGAGCTAAGCTAACTAGGCTAAATTAGCAGACAAGAAGAAGGCACATCCATCCTTCCCTTCCTCCCTCCCTCTCTCCACAAGGAACCACAGCACTTGTCCGCTATGTATGTTTCTCCCGGGTAACTCTCTCTCCCTTTGACCGAGATTTCTTCTTTTGCTGTATTAAGCATAGAAGTAGGTTTGTTTTATCTCTTTTATTCTGTTCCAGCAGCTGTCATGTTCAATATATTTTAAAAAACAAGCTAGCTGGGAGATGCATAAGTTAAATACTTAAAAAACAATTTGTGCCCGAGGGTGTTTTTTTTTTTTTTTTTTTTTTTTTTTCTTTCACACAACTTTTGTAAATGCAAATGAGGCACTTGATTATCTGCTGTTGTGGTTTCATGCAGGCAAAGCTGGTAAAAGATGTGAACACTAGAGGACTCGGGAAAGTATTTGCCCCATGATGGTTTCCACAGTTTTTGCTTTTCCCTCACACTTAATTGTTTCACATCATAAAACTGTTAGACAGAGATAACCTTAGCAAAAATTAAATGCAGTTGTATCTTTTTATTATTAGGGATAAATACTATCTGCAGCAACATATCTCCACCTCCACCATGTTTGACAATTGGTGATGATTGTTGGTTGTAGAAATGTTTTGTACCACCTTCCAAAAAGTTTCACTTCTGTCCCGTCAGCCCAAAGAATTGTTTTCCCAGGGTATTTTGGGATAATCTCATGGTTTCTTTCTCCCCTTTTTTTTTTTTTTTTTTTTTTTTTTTAAATAGCACATTTTAGCTGAACCTTTATGTTCTGCTTCTGTTGTGACCTCCAAGGTGAGTTGTAGATGCACCCTTGGAGTAACTGTCAATGTGGCCAGTGGACACTAAAGAGAATGTTCACCAATGATCCATGTTTTTCTCTCTGTGGACAATGGCGCCTTCTGAGGTTTGGTGGAGTCCCAATTCCTTAGAATTGGCTATGTAACTCTTTTCAGACTGATGGAGATCAATAGTGTTTGTCATCCCTATGTCACGATAACAAATTTTGCTGAACGATTGTCTAAAAATTATTGCGATAAACGATAATATTGTTTCAAGACCTTTTGACACTGATTTAATGGAAATGACTAATAAAGCATGCGATTTCCTGCCATAGACGGATGCACTTTATTTTCAAAACACAACACTGGAACTAATAAACTAAACAAAACAACCAAAAATAAAATGGATTCTCGGTCTCCATTAACAAAAAAACTTTCTTAAATAAAAACTAAACATAAAGCCAAAGTGGAAATAAATACTGCATTCAACCAAAAGAGTGCAGATTATGAAGTCTGTATACTATATTGACCTTCAGTAATCAGTAGATTTAAATAGAGAAGATGGGCACATCCGACCACCTAATGCAGTAGTTCACACTACACGACTTGTTGCCCCTATTTTCCCCTTACAACAGTCTTAGAACGTTGGGTGTTCCAAGATGGTCACTGGTGATTTCGTAACCGACCATCCTGCAGTGTGTGGTGGATTACGGTGGATCATCGTGGCCGCTCTGATCTAAATCAGGGGTTTTCCCCGACTGGGAGCTTAATGCTGAATGTGACAGGTAGCCAATCAGAAAGCACGGATTCTTCTCTGCGCTTTCTGAGGGGAAATTACGGAGGGGAATCCCAAACAGCTGACACGGCGCAACCCAAAATCCAGCGGACATTGGAGATATGTGGAAACATTAATATTTATTCAACATTTCGTGCAAAGAACATAGAAATGACAGAGAGGAGTTGGAGCCAAATTGCTACCGCAGTTGATAAACCCGGTAAGTTTCCAGCTGTTCTTCGTTAACGTGACATAAATAGGTTATAATGATTTTCATTCAGTCAGGACTTTACGCTGACTCTAGCCACATGCATCACAGGTAGATTCTAATAAAGCATTGATTAATGTCTGATTTTAAAATTAGTCACTGGACTTGTAGCCGTTATTTTGTGCCCAGGTGGCTGGACATCACACGGCACGACAAACCCAATCGAACCGTTATACCGAGGATTTCTGT